TCCAAAGGCTCATCGACCATTTGCTGCTTAAGATTTTCATAGGCCAAAAGGTACCAAAGGAGATCATCATAGGTGGTAAATTTCTTAACTTTATGAGACAGCAACACATCCTCTGGATGGAGTGTGGTGTAGGTCTTAAACATTACGTCCTCATCTGTTATCATCTCATCACATAGTTCAAGACTATAAACAATCTCCATCAGGGCATGATGATAATTTTCCACGGATTCAAAATCCTGGAACCTGATGGTCTCCCATTTATCTTTAGCCTTTTGCAGTAATACTGGTTTGAACTTATGCTTTAATTCTAACCAAAGGCTATTAGAATCCCCAACATTCTGGTATAGGTCTCTGAGTTCCTCAGCAATGTGTAAACGAATAATCATTTTAGCTCTATCCATAGCACTCATAGGGATATCATCAAAATGCACATAGAGGCTCTTCCCGAGGCTTTCGCTTCTCATGGCCTTTAGGGTGTTCTCTACCCATTCTAGGTAATTATCTCCAGAGAGGTTGAGAGCAGGATAATCAGAGAGTTCAAGACTCGACATCTGGATTTTCAATGAGCAAATCAAGCTTTCAGAATGCAAGGAATATAACCTTTAATGCATATGATTTCATTAAGGCTTTTAGCCACTTATATCTTATGATCTTTATTTGCTTTAATAAATTTGTGATCCTTGAGGCCTTATCAATAAGAATATCAATCATCAATGATGAGATAAGTGTGTGACAATAGGCAATGTCACACGGCCTTTATATATATAGGACCATAAGGTCTATTAGATCACATGACCATTTGTCTGTTCATTCGTTGAAACGATTAATTAAATCTTATACCCAATTCTCCCCCTGATTTTATTAAGGGTTTCAAGACCATTTGTATGATTAATTTGGAAAGTAGAATTTCTAAGCTTCAAGGATTAATCTGGTCAGACACATAAAGTGTTCATAAATCCGAAATTATGGTTTTTAAACCGATGATCTAAACTTGATCTATAAAACTCGGATTTTATGGGGGTTTCAAGTTTCAAACGATCTTTAAGAAAATCTTTATCTTTCAAAGGATAGAATATATTTTGACAAACATTTATAAGGTCAAATAGATTTCAGAAGAGACTATGCATTTGGACTATAGGTTATAAGATATACCTAGTCAAAGTTATGCATTTATTTTGAAATCATAAGGTTTAAAACTTTGACCAATCATTAATGCATTTGAATTTGAATTTGCATTGACTAGAAACTTATAAAGTTTCAGTTACAAAGATCAAATATTAATGGTCAAAGATATGCAATTGAATTTGCATTTAGGAGATCATAAAAACCTTTTGAAAAATTCCAGTTACAAAATCAGACCATTGATGGTCAATGGTTTGTAATGAATAAGCCTTTTAATTTTGAAAATTAAATTCGGTTTGACCGAAGATTTTAAGGCTGAAAGCTTGTGTCCGGTTTTATAAAATGCTAATGGCCGGATAGAGACTTGGCCGAAAAATTTCATTGATCGGTAAAGATCATGGCCAATTTGGATTCTAAGGTTTTAGCCAAATAAGTTTTGGGGTTTTAGCTTTGGAAAATAGCTTAAAGGGATGGATATGTATAATGGCCATCAAAATACATATCCAATTCTAGTAAATACTAACTAGTAAAATATTTGTATTCATCATATCTGATTTTCAATCATCCTTTGAAATCGATTTTCAAAGATCTTTTCATACTATAGTTTATAAAACATTTATTAGTCAAAGATATGCATTAAAATGCATTTATAAAAATCTGAAAGTTTAAAAACTTTTCAGTTACAAATCCAATAATCAATTGGTCAAATATTTTCATTAAATACTTTATTTTCAGTTTTGATTTTGGTTTAACTGAAGAATTCAAACAACCTGGCCGGAAAAGCGGTGGCCGGAGGTGATCCTCGCCGGAAACAATTCCGGTAAAGGATTTATGGGATCTAAGCCGGTTGTGGCTTAAGGAAAAAATGGCCGACTTATGCAACCAGCAAGAACAACTGGTGCTGCGGGTTTGATCAAATGAATTCGCTTATATGTTTTGATCCTTCGAACAATCCGATTTATAGAATCAGATGAACATAGATCTTTAAGAAGATTCATATAGATCTTTAGGTAATTTCAATATGCTTTAAGGATTCAAAGTAACTACTTTGAATCAACCAACAATTTATATCTAAACATTCTAGATTAATTCTTAGAGATAGATTTTAGATCTAATAGATTCAATAAGTTTTAGGATTCATATAGATCCAATATATGGTGTTCATATAAAACTATGAATGTTCTTATGAATCTATGAATGTTCTTGAGTTTGATTTGTTTACCTTATGAACAACAAAGTATCTGGATGGACCACCGTGAGAGGGAAGGGGATCCGCTGATGGAGGTGGTCGAGAGAACTTGATGAAGAAGGCTGACTGTAATCCGACTGTCGGCTTCATCGGCGTACATAGCAGCTTCTGCCTCAAATAAATAGTCATAGTCCTCTGATGAAGAAGGCTGACTGTAAGAATAGTCTTGACCCATGGTTCTTTGCCCTGCAAAAAAAACAAGTTTAATAAATGTAAGCAAGAAGAAACACTAAACACTAAGACTAAAAACACAGAGCAACAAAAGAGAACGAACACAGATCAAGGGGCAGAATTAACCACACAGTAACGTTTTTTATAAAGTAAACCCATGTAAACCCGACTAAAAGAAAAGAAAGCAACGTTGGATCTATTGAGAACAAAAACGTATTGAAATAGAGCAAGAAGAAATACTAAACACATAAGATAAAACACACAGAGCAATTGTAAACACAGAGCAACAAGGACCCTAATCTAACAAAACAAAACACATAGCAAGCAGAAAGAGCAAGAAGAAAGACTAGTAATTTGCAAGAAGAAACCATAAGAAGAGATAAACATCATGACTTAACAGAGAACAAGACGGAACCTAATCTAAGCAATTGAAGACAGAGCAACAAGGAACCTAAATAATCTAACCAAAACGAAACACACAACAAGCAGAAAAACTTCAAATTAGAGAGCAGAGACCGTAAGCATGAGAGACTAAACATCAAGAAGAGCTAGAAGACTAAACATCATTACTAAACATTGGGACTATAACAGAGACCGTAAACAAACAAGAAGAAACCTTAAGAACAAACAAGAACAGCAACAAGGAACCTAATTCGAAGAAAGTCCCAAATCGAAACCCTAATTCGAAGAAAGCCCCAAATCATGCCTAAACCCTAATTCGAAGAAAGCCCCAAATCTTGCCTAAACCCTAATTCGAAGAACCACAGACAGAAAGGAATTGAAAACCCGAATCTTTCCCAAACCCTAATTCGAACAAAGCCCCAAATCGATTCAAATCGAAATACGAAGGTTGCATGGAGGGGATAACAACAAGGGACCTAATCTATGCCTCAAATCTACGACAAAAGAATACGATCTCCCTTTGAAGATCACGGAGAACACAAACTAGAAAGATAACCCGAAATCGCCTTTTCCTCTTCACTCTAATTTTTTTTTTCTATGTTTGGTCGGGAATGATTTTTTTTCTCGCTATACACAAGCACAAAAGACCCCGACCCAATTAGCCTCCGACACGTGCAGTAAGGATCAAGTCCTTCTACCTCTTATTTACGGACTGATCCGTCGAATTATTTGCCAAAATAATATTAAAAAAACAATTAATCCTAAGGATTAACAACAAGGACCGACGAAAAATCCCCGTTGCGGGTGACCTTACATAGTTGAGTATGAGCATACTGCATACGATCAAATACAAACAAATGGTTTGGGTATGAGCATACTGCATACGATCAAATACAAACAAATGGTCTACTTTTATGTATGAGTATAATCACTTTCTTATTTTAATAAGTGGAAGGACTGAAATGGGAAACGTGGTGAACGTAAGAGGGAATGATCATGGTATATAGATGAACGTAGCGGCGCTTAAATCTGAAGAATCTATAAAAACACTTAAGAGTGCATTCTCACGAGCGTACACGTGATTCTTATGTGTGTGTGTGGCTCGTGACTTTGCCTCTCTTTCCTTACGTCCCTCGAAGTCTCCTCCTAAAGAAGACAACGAAAAAGGAAAAATAAATTTTAATCAAAAAAAGAAGGAAAAATAATTACAAAACCCAAAAGCGTTTTCAAGTGTCTCAGAAAAAGAATCATGGGAGCATCTTTTGATTTGTCTCACTAGATATCGGTCTAACTATAACATTATTGACATACTAAAGTTAAGCGTATGACGAGTTGAGTCCAAATTTGTTCCGAAATCTTGAGAAAAAAAAAAAAATTAAAATTCAATACTTTTGAAGAATATAAAATTAAGCATATTAAGCTTCTTTTCTTTAAAGTGTGAACGAATGATATATAAACATTTTAAATCACCACATAATAATCAAATTTGAAAATAAAAAGTCTAAATACTTATATTTTGAAGGTACCATGTTTTCATCAAACAAAGTTGACCCCCCCCCCCCCAATGCAATGCAATTTAACAAAATCCAATGTTACACACCAGCCTACTACTAATTATTTTGATTTAAAGTTATTGAACGGGATTCAAACCAACAAATATTGTGGACACTTTTGTTTTCTTTTCATTTTTTTTTAAGTTTGATCAGCGTACTTCTTTCTTTTCTCAAAGTCAGTGTATGCATAACAAACAATATAATTTATGTGACTGAACTATATGATTATTTTTATTATAGTTTTATCCTAATGTAGAATCAGAGAAAATGTGAAGTTGATATCATCTGGTTAAAACAAGACTTGTTTCCGACAAAAACACAAAAGGCAACGAGTCTTCTGAAAACAAACACAAAGCAACGATCACATGCGCGGGTGAAAAAGAAAAAAATTCTCTTACAAGTGAATAAAACCGTGACACTATATAAACACTCAACTCTTTCTAAGTTTCACATCATCATCGTATCCATCTCTTCTTTCTTTCTTCAAACACTCTCAATCTTAAATGGAGAGATCATCCTCAATGAAACAATGGAAGAAAGGTCCAGCTCGTGGCAAAGGCGGTCCACAAAACGCTCTTTGTCGATACCGTGGAGTTCGGCAAAGAACATGGGGAAAGTGGGTGGCTGAGATCAGAGAGCCCAAGAAGAGGACAAGACTCTGGCTTGGTTCTTTTGCTACTGCTGAAGAAGCAGCCATGGCTTATGATGAATCTGCGCTGAAACTATATGGTCAAGAAGCTTATCTCAACTTACCTCATCATCAGCAAAGGAAACAAGGGCCTCCTGTGAACAACACTCAGAGGTTTAAATGGGTGCCTTCAAAGAAGTTTATCTCCATGTTTCCTTCACGTAGTGGCATGCTTAACGTGAATGCTCAGCCTAGTCTTCAAATTACCCAGCAAAGACTAGATGAGCTGAGGAAAAACGGACTTCTGTCTCATTCCTATTCTTCTAGCTCATCCTCTACCGAATCGAAAAATAATACTACTAGCCTTACTCATCTCATGTTGAAAGATAGATAATTTAACGAGGTAGATATACTATATTTTAATAGTTAAAATTATATGTTTTCTTAATAACTCTTTTGATGTTTTTATGTTTGTGAAACTTAATATAACCATAAGCTAAATACTTAAGCAAATCAGAATTCTTATTTTTAAAATTATATAAAATAAATTTCAGTTTATCATCCTATCAATCTAAGGCATAAAATTATTTAGAATTTATAAAATATTTTAATTATTGTAAATATTTATATCTGTTCATAAGATTCCAAAAATTTATTAGTTACTTATGTATGTAATTTAGAATCAGATACTTTAGTTTTTATTTTTTTCGTTCTAAGCACAAAAAATCTTATGTTATACGTACTCTTACTAAGATATACTTATATTTCTAAGATAACAACAACATAAATACATTTAGGACAATTAATCAAAAATTTAATATATTTAGAATAAAAAAGATTACAGTTGAATTCAAAGTAATAAATAGAATTTAATATATTCAAATGATAACTAAATCGACCGTAAAAACAATAAAACTGACTAAATATAACATACTAAAATTATATATATATATATATATAACTAAAGTAGTATAAATATAAACTATAAATTAATATAAAATTTAAAGTAAATATCAATCAATTATAATAATATATTTATTTTAGAAATATTTATACATACAACTTCATCCTACTTGTACTTATTCTCCCAGTTATACTTAATTTACAAGTTAAAAACCTAATACAAGATCCATTATCAATTTTCTTTGCTATAAAAGTGAGACATAAGCAGAAGCAAAGAAAAGGAAAACGAAAAAAAAAATCATCGGAGGAGAGGAGAGGCTAGTCATGGGCAGCGGAGATACGATGGAGCATTCTTCACCGAAGACAATTAGTCCAACTATGTACAAGTTGACAGAAGCCGTCTTCATGACCGTATCTGGCGGTGTCTTCGGAGCTGCTTTCGGCGGTATAACAGGAACATTCATCATTGCCCCAATGGTCCGGCGTTACCCTCGAGCCCTAGCCGAACTGACACGAACTCAGGTTTTGTTCAGCTTCATAAAAACCCTAAACCCCTTTTCCAAGTAATGTCCTTTCTAATCATAGAGAATTGGGTTGCATTGAATCAGTACGGTCGTGAGTGTGCTCGGGAGGGTGCAGCAGTATACGCTTCATTTTTCGGAATTGAATCCATAATGAGAGGAATCAGAGGCAAAGATGATCTTATGAATTTGTAACGTTTCATTCTTTTGATCCTCTATATATATATATATATATATATATATATATATATATATATATGTTTCCTTGTCTGAGTACAGACTACGTATACACTTTTGTTTATCCACAAGTGTTACACTAAGAATCTTCAAGTTTTTTCTCTAATATCTTAATTTGACATTGTTCTTTGGGTAATATTTACTGTTATATATTATTACAGACTTTGGATATGGTTGAGTTTTGATATTGGTCATAACTTTGCAGCATGGTCTCAGGAGCAGGTGCTGGGTTGGCAACCTCTTTTGCGATGAAAGGCTTGAAAGGACAACCTGCACACGCACTCTTCGGCGCTGCTTATTTCGCTGCTTTGGCAGGAACATTGTAAGGTGCTAAACTGGATTCATGATTTAATAATACAAAAGAGTACGTATATCTTCTTAATTAACACGGTTTGTGTTTTCCTTTGAGGTGAGTGTGACAATCAAATCACGCAATGCCCAAGACGCCTTTTACACAGAGGCAAGAACTATGCTGTCGAAGCTAGGCCTTGAGGAATACGAGAAGAACTTCAAAAAGGGACATCTCACTGATCCCACCTTACCATTGCTCACTGATAGGTTATACCATACATACATCTCCTAAGAGCTTCAAACTTGAGTCTCTCATTGATTGCTCAACTATAAACTAATCCCCTTTCTAATGAATATATCAATTTAGTGTCCTACAAGAGGTTAACATTCCACCAGGGCCAAGGCTTTTGATACTAGATCATATCGAGAGGTTTGTTTACAAGTCTACTCTTACATGCATGGGTCAAAGATATATGAATTGTATCCAACCATTATCTGTTGTTTTGGGTGCAGGTACAATAAGATGGTAAACCGCAAGCGAGGAAAGCAGTCCAACATGGATTGGTTGTGATGACTTATAATCTTTTTATTTTTTGTTTTTTTTAATGACTTAGAGCATCTACAATGGTTTTACCACCATTGGAGTCCTTAGTATTATTAAATTATTTTTTGAATAGTTAAGGATTCTAATTAAAAATGTTCGTCCAATGGTGTTTTCCATTTTGAAGTTTTTAGGGAAAAAAATATTAAATTTTAAAACATGTAAAATTAAATTTTTTTATGAGAAAATTACTTAGAAAAACTTAAAAAAATGTTTTTTTCACAAATATAACCTATAAGGAAAAAATGACCAAAATATACTTTATTAAAGAGTGTAAAATACATTTATACCCATTAGATTAACTAATCTAGATTTAGAATTTAGAGTTATGAGATTTAAGGGTTAGGGTTTAAATTTTTTTTTTTTTAAAATAAAAAAATTCAACAATAGGCGTTGCCATGTCACTAAGGATCAAAGCCTTAAATTCCTTAGTTAAGGACTCTTCCTTAGCTTATGTAAATTAAATATAATTATTCAAATTTGATTTGCGAGTGATAAGAACTTGGTTAAATCTACATGCTCTTAGAATCTTGGAGGTCATGTAGTTCTGATCAACCTGCTTTGTAATAATAACCTTTAGACTTTTTATTCAAAGCTAAGAACATGACATAAACACCAATTTATTCCTTAAAATTTTATGTCTGCTTAAGTTAAAACAACAACATAAACACAACCTTATTGAAATGTCAAACCCGAACCTTGTAGTCTACCTTCAACAATGTCGTCGAACCTTTTAGCCATTTGAGGAGTGAGATGATTCTTCCAATCACCAACTTCACCTTTCCTGAAGAACACATTAGAATCTATACCAATTCTCGTAGTCCCGTTCTTGTTAGTCTCCAAGTTGCTCAAGTTACGCAAACTACACAGCTTCAAGATCTTCTCCACCGAACCCCCCTCTTCTTCCTCCTTGGTGAACGGGCAATTCAAGAACCCAGCGAGCCTCTTGACTTGAATAAGAGGCTCCTCAACGATCTCTTCATACCTCATAAATAGAACATTCTCCTTGTCTTCTAAGCTCCCTTTCCAGTAGCTCAACATTTGTTCCCAATAGGGTCCGTACAAGGTAACTCCCCTACAGTAAGAATCAAACAAGAGCTCAAAACTAGCTTGATCCATCTCGGTGCGATGCAACTTGTTCTTGTAATGCCAACCGGAGACAAACGTATCTTTGAGACCTCTACACACGTAGACGACTTTGCATGGTGAGGAAGAAGACTTTTTGGTAGCTTCACGCAATGTATTTAAGTGCATGTGTGTAGAAAAGATCATAGGAGAAGGAAACTTTGTGAGATCCGGAGTTTGACTACTAGCGTATAGCTCAATCTCAAGAAACGGGACTAGGTCATGAGGGTTTTGTGAGAGTAGAGGATGAGTTGTTTGGGGATTTTCAAGGTATTTTTCTCTATGTAAAACGGCGAAAACTAGAGATTTGAGCCAAGTGGTACCACCTTTGGGCAAAGAAGCAAGGATTATATCGTTCTCTCGTGGCCTGAAATGGTCTTGGACGTCAAGAACGGCTTGGAGTGTGTTGGGATAGTACCAACAGCCTTTGTAGTTGTAGAGATTGTAACCCATGAAATCTTTGTCTGAGGGAAGTGAAGATATCAACTTCTTGGTTTCTTGGCTAACGTTGTCATCTTTCATGTAGTTTGGAAGGTGTTGAGGTTCTTGAGAAGCCTCCATTGTGATGCTTTTTTCTCTAGAAACAGAGAGGATATGGTAATGAAAGAAACGAGGTGGAGAAAAGAGTTTTTGATTTGATGCTTTGGACCGTCCGGTCTTATTACAAGTCAAAAATTTAGATACGTTTATAGTAGACAAAAGTCACAAAAACACGTGTTTAGGCCTTGTTCGCGTTTCAGTTATGGCTGCGTCCTAGGCCACACATGATCAATCCCACTATGATATGAATCTTACCGTTACAGAATCCACTTTTGCAACTTTATACGTTTGTAGTCAGTGTTGATGTTGCGGAGATAACAAGAAAACTTACAAATAAATTTGATTGAGTCACATAAAACTTAAACTTATTTCTTTGTTAATTATCAGAAATTTGGAGTTCAATAGAGAGGCATGGCCAATAAAACTCTCTTACGTGCCACCATGTTTCGTGTCAATTTGCCTTTGCTGAAGAGCTTCTTCTGTATCAGACTCTACAACCAATATTATATCTTATGAAGTTTGAAACCCTCCAAGCGAACCAGAGACTTTCCATCTAAGAAGCGAAGTGGTGAGAGGGGAACAAAGTAAGTCTAAAAGTGTCCCACATCGCTTGGGTAGAGAGACGTGTGATGACGAGTGGGCCTATAAAACAAGACGAAGTGCGTGACTTAGAAAATATGATCCTTCAGGTTTAAAGGGGAAGTGAGGATTGGGTTTAATCACGCACATTTAAATGCGTGAAGAGCGTTCCGCTCAAAACCTTTTACGACAATTGGGCGCTCCAATTTTCTTATCATCTGATCCCTCATAGTTTTTCAATCTTTTTTTTTTTTTAAATAATATTTTTCTTCTTCTTATTTTTCTATTTTTTAAAAATTATTATATTCTTCTTATTCTTTTATAAATTTTTCTGTCAAATAAAAATATTTTAAAAGTAATTAAATATTTATTTTAAAATTTTTGTTAACTTAAAAATCTTTTAATTGGTAATGATAATAAGGTAAAGTATTACGTTGGTAGAACCGTATGTGCTCTTGTAATCAATATGAAAGAAAATTAGAACCGTATGTGCTCTTGTAATCAATATGAAAGAAAATTACTCGTAACTTTTTTGACATACTGTAGATTATTCTACATAACCTCAGTTTGTCATTATAATAACAAAATTTATATTCATGTTTATTTGTTGTCTTTACTGAATCTTACCACACAAATACTGTAACCCGTAGCAAACTTAACCCAAACGGCAATACCATCATGATAACAGAAACATGAAAACTAAAAACAGAGGTGCTTGCCTACACCAATCTCTCATTACACACAAAAAAACTTATAATACGTGCTCCATTCTTTCTAGAGAAATTAGGAGTCCTACCAAAGAACTTCTCCATATTTAGCGAAATACCAATCCCCTCTAAATCGTCACTGTTTGAAGTGCATCTTTTACCCTGCTACCCCTACTGCACAAATATATCATCATCCTCTACATGTAGGTCAAATCTTGTATTAGGATACGCAAATACATATTTCACATTAGTGATTTCTCTCTAATGTGAGTATCTATTTGTCAGGTTGCATATCTTTTCACTGTTTTAGGATTGAATTTAAAATTAGAATATTTCACATTAGTGATTTCTCTCTCATCTACGAAAATATTATATTATTCTCCGTAACTGATATGTATGGTGGAGAACGAAGAAACGCAGGCGCCGCCATATCAATTGCCGGAAAGGATTTTCGCCGTCGGAGAAGAACTCACCGGCGTTAGAGAAATTCCATACCTCAAGTTATGGCAGATTGTGCAAAATTTTGTTTGCTTGTGTCTCTTTTCTTTTTTTATTGTTGAAGGTTTGGTTGTGTTTCAGGGAAAGAAGTTGATTTTTATGTGTTTAATTATCTGAAAGTTTAGTTTGATGTATTTCAGATTCTATTTCTTGTCAACTTGTGCTTCACAATTAGTTTGCTTGTGTTTCTATTAACTATTTTTTCATTCAATTACCAGCTAATATTAAATTAATACTATAATTGATTTTTGTCTTGTTAATGTCCAAGCATCGTATAACTCTTTAATCTGGTGTTAATAATTGTTTGGTTCTATCTTGATTATTAGATTATATAACTTTTGTTTGAGCCGGCCACTCAAAACCATAGCACGTTAATTTTATTTCTAACTGTATGCGTAAATGTTAGCTGTCTAACAAAGGGTAATGTTACTAGGATTAATGCTCTAGGCAATCAGTTTAGCCGGCTAAGAAAAAATATAGCGAGATACTGACTAATATTGGTCAACTAAGCCAAACTATAACCGTATAATAGTGTGACGATATTATACACTTCATGATTGACACAAACTTGTGTGTTTTGGGTTAATAGCTTAGACTTTGTTGAGGTTAATAGCAATCCATGCTAAACTTTCTTATAACCGATTTGTAAAAACATCTTTCATATGACAAGAAAGTTTCATTACTATAACAAGTTTCCATATTTTCTAACAAAACGAAGTCGATATATTTCTCAAGTTTGAGTTTAATTACATTTGTAAAAGCTTGAGAATGCTTATCTTACAAAAGTTAAATGTTATAAGCAACAACATTACTTAACGAAATTTTATTACATGATGATATATTACATTATTGGTTCCAAGAAAGTTTAACAAGCCAAAAGGAAAATAATCCCTACTAAAATTTCTTATAACATGTTTTGTAAAAACCATCCCTCGTCGGTTACAAGAAAATGTTCATTACTATAGCAAGTTTCCATATTTTGTAACAATACAAGGTCGATATATGTCTAAAATTTGAGATTAATTACACTTGCAAAAGCTTCCGGATACTTATCTAACAACTTATAGAGTAAAGAAATTGCGTTACATGATAAAATAATACATCATTGGCTACTAGAAAGTTTAACAAGCTAAAAGGTAAAACAAACCAGATTAAAAGTTCTTATAAACGGTTTTGTAAAAAGAAAATATCACCAGTTTCAAGAAAGATTATCAATCTAAAAATAAATTTAACCAGGCTAAGCTCTTTTGTAACCAGTTTTGTAAAAACAATCATTTATCAGTTACATGAATGATTATCAAACTAAAAATAAAATTAACAAGGCTAAGATTTTCCGTAACTGGTCTTATAAATACAATTCCTCATGGGTTACATGAATGATTATCCAGATACAAAAAAACTTAACCAGGTTAAGCTTTTTTCTAACCAAGGACCACACCCAAAAGACATTCTTGCTTAAATAAGATTATATATATATATCACTTGGATTTAGAAATCTTCACACCCTCATCAGTCCCAATCCCTCATACGACTTCTCTCCCCCCCCCATCCAGTTGTGATGTTTCCAATGTTTGGCCTAAGGCTGCCACTCCTCTCCCCTCGCCAAAATGGGATGCATGGACTGACCCTTCTCCTCCAGAACATGAAACTGTACAAATTAAGATTTTAGTGGAACACAAAGGTCATATTAATTCAACACAACTTTTTTCAACACCACTAATTCAACAACGCTTAAACAAGTTTTTCTAAGCATATTCAAGAAGATAGAAGACATCTTAGTAGTAAACAAGAAAAAAATCAAGAAGGTAGATAGATATCTCTAGTACTCACGGTAAAAATATGAGGCGTGAATTTGACTCTTGTCGACCCTGCAAAAATAAAAACACACACAAAAAGTGAAAAAAATTTCAGAGCTCAAATTTCACCATTGAAACGGTTAAAGATGGCTGAACAAGATATCTTGAGGTCATTGTTTACCATATTCACCATTAATCGTATATTCTAATAGATAGGAGTTGAAGAACTTTCCAATTCCATCATGTGAAGAAGAAGATTTCAATTACTAAAATATATAGAAATTTACCTAAAACTTGAAGCTTTTCCTTTTTGCTAGAACCAATATCTAACTTTAGGGGAGGTTCCCCTCCGCCGGAACCACCGTTGCCTCTACTTAGTTGGATTTGTGTGAAAGAAGAAGTTTGATAACAAAACCAGTAACATTTCACCCCTTTCGGCGCCTCGGTAAAGACAACGGCATGTTATAAAAGTATGTAGAGGCCTAGTATCTAAACTAAATCTTTTTTCACTGTAGTGCCAAATCTAACTGAATCTATTATGTCAGACACTAATCCTAGACCCCTAGTATCCGAAAGTCGAGTCACCAAGCTGGAAGGTTATTTTTGTCTTTGTACCATGATACTTTAGCACAACTTTTCCTTCTTTCCTATTTTCCTAATTTCGTAATCTTCTTATGGTTTTCACCTAATTTGCTCTTCTTTCTATACACAATTCAGAATAGTCAAAACTTCTCAAGCACGTATCACCTATATGACTCAATCCCAAGACAAAAGTTTCAGTTCTTTTTAACAGCAATCAAAGAACCTTGAAAGGAAACAAAACTCACAAAGTTGTTGAGATTATCAGAATATGTAGAATAAACATCTTTTATTGACTATATCTTAGCTTTTTTGAAGAATCATTTAGCACAAAAATATAAAATCAATGTATAACCAATGTATAAAATCGTTTCTTCTGAGTTCGATTCGGGATCGGGTTATAACCAATGTATAAAATCGTTCAAAAATATTTTTTAAAACTTAAAAAATGTTAAAATAATACTCAAAATATTTAAATTATTCAAAAAACTAACTGAAAACAAGCCAAACTACACAAATTAGTTAAAATTTATTTACAATAATACATAAAATAAACTATTAAAATTTTAAAATATTCTAAAACATTTAAAATTCCCTGAACATATATAAAAATAGTAACATATTTCACTAATTTTGGATATAGTCGGATCCAAGTTTGGATTTCGGTTCGGGTTATACCTATACTCTAAAGTACCAAGCTCTCAAGTCTCATTCGGATATTCTTATATAACGGTTCGGATACGGTTTCAGTTTTCTCGGTTCGTGTTAGGGTAAGGAGTTCGGTTTGGGGTAAAAACGCCATGGCCTAGCCACCACCTCCGACCCATCGTCGATCAATCCCGTGGTGGTGCTTCTCTCCATGCCTGGATGGACCTCCGGACCCATTTTGCCACCGGTAAAAGTTACCATCTTTCTCCGCCGCAGTTTCATCTTTTTTTATCTTGTCTGAACTAACTTTCTTGTTGGATTCTTCAGGACATGAAGAGTTTCGTTAACCAGCAAACGAGAGTGATCCAACACGATGGGTCTATAGTGAAAGAAGACGATCTCGATTCACAGTGGGAAGAAGCAACCGGTGAAAACGTCGAAAAAGTCATCTTTCTCAGCTGTCACACCGCCGTCTCGAACCGTCCTGCTCTCACTTTTCACCCCATTGGTATGATAAAGCTCAAAACTTTCTATGTGGGTTTCTTCTCCTTCTGTATAAAGGATGATGCTTTTGGTTGATTTGAGTGTAGGAGTGCTTCACCTGAGAGAAGGAGAATCTCCGCCGCAGGGAGGAAAGGAGGGATGGGAGGCGTTGCCAAGCCCTAGGATTGGTCCGTGGTTGCGTCTTTTGAAGAAAATGGCTGAAGCTCATAGCTTAGTTCCTGAGATTGATGAGGTTTTGTTTCTTGTTAATTTGCTTATGTGTTATATCTAGAGATTTTCAGTATCTTGTTAATTTGCTTTTGTCTTCTTTTTCTCGAGATTGCTGGTTATCTTGTTAAAGTCTCCCAGCATCAGCCAAGGTCCAGATCTTGTTAAACTCATACGGGTAAGGCGTTCCTAGACATTTTCTCGGTATTCAACGACCGGCGTAATAAAGACTTTGTGCCCTTCGATGGTGCCTTCAATATCGATCATGCGATTATTAAAAAAGAGAACAGTAACATCAAAAGAGTCTAAATAAAAAAAATGCTAATCCACCGCTTCTGTTTTCGGGTTCCACGGTGAACAATTTGTTATAACCAAACTCAAACTGAAAATTCTGAAGAAAAGAGTAATTTTTTTTCTTTCTGAAAGAAAAAGAAAGGAAGGAAGAAAACAGCGATGCAATTCCCAGAGACATTGCTTTGTCAGATAAGCTTTGGCGTCCTGATAGTTCCAGGCGATTGCACTCATATCTTCTTACTGGATGGTTTCTGGGACACCGCCGAACCTGAAAGGGACACTTTTTTTTTGCGTGAAGCAAAAGGAAACACCTCAATACGAAGGACCATAGACGAAGAAGATGTTAGTCGTTTACCTGGTGATGTCTTTTTCTTTGGGGAGGCACGACTATTGAGCACCTGCAGTTTCTTCGATGCATTCGCTCATTTTATGTCAGAAGACCGTGAGTTCTTCTTTTTCATTAAACCTTTCAGGACATAGACGCCAGACGAGTTCTGTTGTGCGGGTTCGTGAAAAGATGCGGCTGCTTGAGCGAGTTTGAGGTGCTGACTGGGGGGTGTTGTTTTCTTGTACACAATATTAGCTGGAGAGAGTTGGAATATAGCCTCAATTTTTTCTGCATCACGATCTAATATAAGTTTATTATTATCTTTATAGAACTTTGTTTCACTTGATAAAAATCTGAAATCCAAAATTATTTTGGGTTTAACTGAATTTTGAAAATGTTACTAATTCCTAGCCGAGTCTGAACCTAATTGTTATATTATTCAAATGAGATTAAAGTTCATAAACCCAAAAGTCTAAAAATTTGGTGGAACCTAAGATATTTTACGATATCTGTGATTTGGTTTGGTTTCTTCGGGTTTTGGTTAATTTGTTCATGTTGGTGTGGTTCGGTTCTAAAGACACCGTCCTGACAATGTTTCCTTCATCTCAAGAGTTTAATTATGTGCGCCTAACATAAATTTAAAGGAAATACATATGATTGGCCTGCAAACCTGTATTAAATTCGTTAGGTAACATACGTTGATTGCTTACTTATAAATGGTAAGAAGCAGCCCGAGTTTTTAATATTAAATCGCTCAAACCATCAAAATTAGAATCCAATGCCACCCCTAACCAAATTTAACAATTTGAATAATTTTGTTACATTATGTAACGTATGAAGTAAGACTCGTGACTTGTGAACATACACATAAAACTACAAAAACCGTGTGAAGAGAAAATTGACTTTTCAAGAAAAGAAAATCTAATGACATTTTCGAGTTCTTGAGGACGTGATTTGTAGTGTTTTTATCCGTACACGTGAAGACAGATTGGATGGCTTATAATGGAAATCTAAAGAATGGACCGATCGATATTTACTTGTCAATGGCTATAGCCTATATTGATTCTCCACTTACAAATACAATTCCTATGGTCCTTGATCCTTATACTATAAACAAGGAAGCAATAGTAAACTGATAGTTTTTAAATGTGACTGATAGATAACACAACTTTATTTAGTGACATAAAATATCACATTTTCCCAACAGAAAATACATTAATTTGGTTAAAGTAAATAAATCAGGTTGGAAAACTTAATTTCTTTGGTGACATACAATGTATCACTTCCACCCCTCCCCCAAAAGAAAATCAAAAAGTATTTTAATAAAAAACAATTTTTACAGAACTGTTACAAAACTAAAAGAAAGGTAATTAGTACTAAATCCCAATAAGGCATCCCCAGATTAATTTAAACGTAATCTTATACTATGTGACGCAATCATATGTCTTCTATTAGCTAACACTTTATTTAAAAAAAAAAAAACATTTTAAGCCATAAACCTCTTTAAAATCCTTCTTTCTTTCCGAAAACTTATAAACAACAAACTTCCCATTTCGCTCATTTCTGCATCTCTAAGCTATACAGCAAACAAAACACAAAAATAATAACCCAAACCCTAACCCCCTTTTGGATCACGAGAACTCTCCTCAACAATCTCAGGTCTTTCTCCAACTTTTTCACTTTCGATTTCCGCTAGATTATACGATAATGTACTAATTTTAAGTAGTCGTGTTTTAGTTTGAATTTCACTGCTGCCAAGAGATTTAGGGATCTTGAAATTTTTTTGAAATTTTGAAATTAGGGTTTTGGATTTGGGGGAAAAGCAAAATGGAGGAGAGAGGATATGCATTTGAGGCTAACAATGGCCGACCAACGGGGAGTGAGTTCGGGAGTTCACGGAGGAATGCTTCGCCGCAACGTCCGTCATTGACGAAGTCATCGTCGTCACGTGAAGGAAGTAAAGGGAGGAGGTCAGTGAAGGCGAGTTGTCCAGACGCGGATAACAATGAGTTCATTACTTTACTCCATGGCTCAGATCCGGTGAGAATTGAGCTCAGTAGGCTCGAGAATGAAGTCAGAGGTACAATTTAACGACATCTTTTTATTCTTATTGGTTGATTCAAGTTTCCGTTGACAATTTTTTTTAATTTTTTAATTTTGCAACATATGTTTTCACTCTGTACTTACGTGCATGCGTGTCATTTTGTTTGGGGGTTTTAAAGATTTTGACTTTGTGTTTTGTAGATAAAGATCGGGAATTGTCTGAATCCCAAGCTGAGATCAAGGCTTTGAGGTTGTCTGAACGACAAAGAGAGAAGGCTGTTGAAGAGGTTAGTTTATTATTTACCAAATTGTTTTTATTTAACTTGCAGTTAATTTACTTTCTTTCCTTTTTTTTAACTCGTGAGGTGATTGATGAATTAATTATTTGGGAAATGGAGAGTATTCTTACCTTATTAGTTGTATAGTATTTGCAGCTATTCTGTTCTTGCCCTGTGAGGTTGTTTGGAGTATGCTTGATGCAACTGAGTTCTTCATATGGACAGGACCTTGAGAATGTATCTTGACATATATGTTTTTTTGTTTGTTTGTTAGGGGTCATATTAATGATAGGGAAGAAGTTAAGTGTGTGAAACAATAATTTGAATATCAAGATTTTTGTTAGAACTATTATGCTTTCGGCTAGTAGTTTTTGTTCAAGTTGCGTTAGAGTTCAGGATCTGGATTAGTTTTCGTATATGTGATTGCAGTACTTTTCTTTTACCGTTCCTTTGTAGTTGTAGAGATGTCTTCACTCTTTTTTTGGCCGGTAAGTGATGACTAGTTGTTCTGTGAAGCATATAGATATTTTCAATTCCTTGTTCCCCCTCACTATTGTTTATAGATAGATTTTTAAATGCTGTATGAAAGAATAGTGTGTGTAATAGCACTAATTAAAATCACGTGTACATGTAGTTTATCTATTATGTCACTTACATATTTTGTTATTTTCCGTTCTGACGTTCTACTTTTAAATTTTATTGCTCAAGCTTACCGACGAGTTGGGAAAGATGTCGGAGAAGCTCAAACTAACTGAAAATCTTCTCCAGAGTAAAGTAAGTTTCTCAGTTGCCTTTTGCTCTGCTGTTTTTTTTTTCTGGATCTGTATTTGATGAAAGATCACGTCTTGTCACAGAACCTTGAAATTAAGAAAATTAACGAAGAGAAAAGGGCTTCCATGGCAGCTCAATTTGCTGCAGAAGCCACTCTTAGAAGGGTTCACGCTGCTCAGAAGGATGACGATATGCCTCCTATTGAAGCCATTCTTGCCCCTCTAGAGGCTGAACTCAAATTGGCGAGACATGAAGTATTTTTACTTCCGTTCAACCTCCTATATCTCTGCTTACTGAATCTTGGAACCTGTTGAAAAGTTGGTTTTGCATTTTTCATTTGTAGATTGCTAAACTTCAAGACGATAACAGAGCATTGGACCGTCTAACTAAATCAAAGGAAGCAGCTTTGCTGGATGCTGAAAGAACTGTTGAGGCTGCTCTTGCCAAAGCTTCAATGGTTGATGATCTCCAGAACAAAAACCAAGAGTTAATGAAACAGATTGAAATTTGTCAGGTATTGCGTTCTTGGACGAACTTTAAATCTCCTGGATCTCCTTCCTTCGATTTTTTTCTGAGCATGCCTTGTTACCTATTGTTTATACTAGGAAGAAAACAGGATTCTGGACAGAATGCACAGACAAAAGGTTGCAGAAGTTGAAAAGTTCACGCAGACTGTTAAAGAGCTCGAAGAAGCTGTTCTTGCTGGTGGTGCAGCTGCAAATGCAGTGAGAGATTACCAGAGGAAATTTCAAGAAATGAATGTAATCACATTTTACTTTTATAGTGCCTCAGTTGCTTATTGTTTCCACTGTTTCTAAGAATATACAATTCCTGTGCTGATCATGATAACTGTGGCCACTGGTTGTTTCCCATAGGAAGAGAGGAGAGTCCTTGACCGGGAGCTGGCCCGTGCAAAGGTAAGCGCAAGTAGGGTTGCAACTGTAGTGGCAAATGAGTGGAAAGATGGAAGCGACAAAGTGATGCCTGTGAAGCAATGGCTCGAAGAACGGAGGTTTCTGCAGGTCACTTATCTTTTGTTTTTGTTTGTCTTCTCTTTGCTTCTTCAAATTGTCTGATTCATATCTACATCAACTATCATAACTAATACAAATGCGTATCATTGTCAGGGAGAAATGCAACAACTACGTGACAAACTTGCCATAGCTGATCGAGCTGCAAAATCTGAAGCTCAACTGAAGGTATAAGAATCTTTATGTCTTCTTTATGTCCTTTTGTATCATGTCTTTAGGTAGAACTGATTCTTCTCCCTTTCGCAGGAGAAATTTCAACTGCGGCTTAAGGTCTTAGAAGAGAGTTTAAGAGGGCCTCCAAGCGGTGGCAACAGAATGACACCTGAAGGAAGAAGTATTAGCAACGGGCCTTCTCGAAGACAATCAATTGGCGGAGCTGATGTTATACCAAAACTGACCTCAAATGGATTATTCTCCAAGAGGACACCGAGTTCACAGTTTAGATCTTTGAGTTCTAGTGCAAGTACAGTATTGAAGCATGCTAGAGGAACATCCAAATCATTCGACGGAGGCAGCAGATCTTTAGATAGGAGTAAACTGCTAACAAACGAACGTGGCTCAAAGTTTCCAATGAACCAATCTTCTGAAGGAACCAGCGAAGGCGACTCACCTAAGTCAACTAAACAAGAAGTGTCAGAGAAGCCGGCAGGAGGAACAAACAATGATAGTGTTCCAGGAGTCTTGCATGATTTGCTTCAAAAGGAGGTAATAACTTTAAGAAAAGCTGCGCATGATAAAGATCAAAGCATAAGAGATAAGGACGAAGCTATTGAGGTCAGTTTAGTATTTTACCTTTTCCAGGGAATATGTTGATTCTGTTTATTATCTCTGATTGGTGAAAAAAAATGTTTGCTTAGATGTTAGCCAAGAAGGTTGAAACACTAACAAAGGCGATGGAGGTAGAGGCAAAGAAGATGAGAAGAGAAGTAGCTGCAATGGAGAAAGAAGTATCAGCCATGCGTGTGGATAACAAAGGACCAGAGAGCAGAACGAGACGTCTCTCTACTACTAACACAAGAGGATCTTCAACAAGTACTGCACATTTGCTTTCTGGAAGGTACTTAAATCATGACCAAGTGGTGGTTATATTAGTTTTTAAGTTATATACATGGATGTTTAAATCGCACAATTGGTGTTTAGCAGAGGCTCAGGACGAATGGGGATGACAAGGAGCACGCAGTAATCAAAAGAAGTAACCAGAAAAAAGTCATTTCCACGAGCTAAATTTCAATCAGTGATTAATATATTGAAGGATGATTAAGAAAAAGCACACAAATGTAGAAATGCAATTGAGAAGGTTTGTGTGCTTCTCTAACCTAGTAAGATTGCTAATCTTCTTTGTGCTGGTGATGTTTATGGTTTTACTTATCTTTATAGTATAATACAGAAAAGAGCTAGCATGTGTGTGTTTTAACTACACTTTTAAGCTTTTGTGTGTGATTTGTTTTATATCATTTCTTACCTCTGCCCATTTTTCTTATAAATTGGACACTAGAAGTCTGGAACCAAAATTGGACATTAGAAAAAAAAAACTAAGCATTGGGTTTAAGAAAATGTTTTAAAGTTGAAGAAACGTCAAAACCTTCTGACCTTAAACTTAAACTTAAACATAATCATAGGAACAAGTTTGGTTTCTCACAACTGGTTATACTACTTGTCAGATCAACGCAGAACTTACATAATTTTTGCAAGTCCTGAAAGCTTGTCTCATTAGCATTCTTCTCTTTATTAATCCAAACACAACATTTCATTGACAATAACAAATTCTCTAGATATATCGTACTCTATATATGGAATATTTTTACTTGAACGTGATCATAGTCTCCTTAAAGGCTTGAAAAGAGAGTCCTGTCTGAATGTAATGAATCTGTGAAGGATCAAAAGGACCTCTCACTCTATCTATCTTTGTAATCACTGCTCTCTCCGGCAGCACACTCCTCGCCGGGTCCACCGCCGTCTCTCCGCTCAGACACGACGAAAATCCTTTAAATATCAGAACTTCGACCTCTTCACCGTCAACAATGGCCGTCACGATAAGGGCTTCGTCTCTACACGATTGACTATAAGTCTCCAGCATAGCTATCTCCTCGTTGTATCCGTAAGAGTCATCTTCATCTTCTCCGTCGTCTCTCACCCTTCTCCTAGCACCGCACCGTAAAGGCTTGGAAGCTCTCGCCGCCGCCGCAGGAACGGTTGAACTGGCTTTACATTTTGTGCGTGATGGTGCTTCGGTCTTTAGAAAAATCTGCCGGGAAATGCGCCGGGAATGGAATAATCGGGCTGTGCTGCAGCATGGACTCGCCGGCGTGATAAGCATTGTATTTTGATGAGAGTCATGGTCAGGATATGTGAGGTTACCATTGGTTTTTATGATTTTTTGGATAAGATTTTTGTTGTTGTTGTAAAACTTAGCATTCTCATTCGATCTATATATGGACTATTAAAAAAAATAAAAAATCATCAATGTATTCACATGTCTAAATATAATAAAAGTTTATAAAACAAAACAATAGTAGTTTTGTATATTTAAAAAGAAAGAAAGTAGTTTTGTATTTTAGAGATAAATTGTATTTTGTTCTTTTCTTTTTGATACAGAGATTAAGGTCCGAGATGTATTGTATTTTCCCATGGTTTTTATAATAATAAAAATGAACCTGGCAACGTTTCTTCTTTTGTTTCAGAAGCTGTACCAAAGCGGATTCTTGAGTTGATGAATGTGCCTGGTTTAAATAGAGAAAACGTCGCTAGTCATTATATTTTGTTTTTGTTTGGTTTGTATCTTTCTTGTTTAAGGCTCTTCAGGTTTTCTTGGCTCGCAGTAGGGACGCCAAGTCTATGGTAACACAAAGTCCTGTGTTTATATTTTCGCTAATGCTATTAATCTGAAAGTAATAATCTAGAGATGTGGAATGAAGATGGATATGAGAATGACAACTCTGAACAATGAATACTCAAATATTTTCTTTTCTTTTAGTTTGCTCTTTTTCGCAATAAGTTGTACTTTCACCATGATATATATGACCACATTACATGCAACAAAACAAGTCTCGAAACCATGTCGGAGTTTTAACCAAAGGTTGGTTCCGGATCGAGGGGAAGATCAAGCCGAAGGTTCAACTCCTCCTGATTTTTTTTTTTCAAATAACAAACAAACAAGTCTCCAAATTTAAAACATTAAACACACAACATTAGTTTTGTTATGGGTGCACCACTTTAGCCAAACAAAAAGCAGCAGCTGAGGCTACCGCACCTATAAAAGCGGTTTCAAACGCACTCTTAAATGGTCTGCTGCCGGTGAAATGCCCTTTTCCATAGCCGAATATAAAGAGAGCTACCAGAGTTATTACCACAGACGCCACTACGGCATCCATTGCTTGCGGTATGAACATGTAGGGAAATAGAGGTATGGAACCACCAAGAATGTATGCGGTTGCAATCGTGTACGCGCTTTGTATCGCTCTTTTTGGATCAGGCTTCTCTAATCCCAGCTCAAACCTTAATTAGTGAAACAATCAGGTATAACTTTTAAAGTTTAGCATATCAAATCTTATTCTTACCTCTTCAAAAATAATAATGTTACGGTATATACATTAATGATAGGTAAAGATTGCTAAACTTGATTAACCCATTCGATAAAACTAGACCAACCGAGTTCATGCAGAAGTAATTAAACGTGAGTTTAAGTTCAAGTTCATTTGAGAACATCTGAAAAGTAAGAAAAACTAAAAAATATTTTCTCCTAGTATTTGAAAAAAAAATCAATACAAACAAAGTAATCAAACGTGTGCTGATAAATCATTGAAACTAACCTCATCATAAAATCAAGCCATGCTTGAGGATTCTTACGAAGAGCATTAACAACAGGTGAAGATTCATGTGGCCCTAGTCCATAGTCTGCCAAAAGCTCTGCCACCTCTGCAGCCTCTGTTAAATCCATTTATCGTAAACTTCGTTAATAGTTACATCTGATAATTTCCTCCGGTGGACAGTTTCAATTTAGTGAGAATTAGTCTTACCAGTCTCAGGCATAGTAATGATCTCTTCTGCTTCTCGTTTAACCTCTCTCGCATAATGATCCGCTTCACTCTTAGCCGCTAGATAACTAAATTTGTAATTCAGACAAGTTTTATTAAACTCAATGGTTGCATCATGAATGTTACTAAACTAGACTGGATATTGTTACTAATAATATATGATTTACAGGTATAATTAAGTGTCAATAATTAACGCAGGGAACTCTGTGCCGCCCATTGAATATTTATAAATATTTTATACTAGGTGATTTTCCCGTGCTCATGCACGGGCATAAATATTTATAAAATAAATATATTATTATAGTTGATTGATATTTATTTTAATTTTATATTAATTTATAGTTTTTATGTATAATTTATATAAATAATATTATATTATTTTAGTTATATATAATTTTAGATATATTATATTTAGTCAGTTTTATCATTTGGATATATATTTGATTCTATCTATTTCTCTAAATTCAACTATAATTTTTTTTTATTCTAAATATCTTAAAATTTTGATTAATTGTTTTATTTAAATTTATGTTGGTTGTTATCTTACAAATATAAGTATATCTTAGTAAGATTATGTATTTTAAGATTTTTTGTGCTTAAAACGAAAAAAATAAAAACTAAAATGTCGGATTCTAAATTACATACATAAGTAATAATAAATTTTTGATCAATATTTACAATAATTAAATATTTTATAAATTTTAAATAATTTATGCCTTAGATTGATTGGATGGTAAACTGAAATTTATTTTAGATAATTTTAAAAATAAAAAATTCTGATTTGCTTAAGTATTTTGATTATGGTTATATTAAATTCCACAATCATAAAAACAGAAAAGTAAACATCAAAAGAGTTATTAAGAAAATAGATAATTTTAACTATTAAAATATAATATATCTACCTTGTTAAATTATATAGTGTTATGATATTTTAAAATAATTGTAGTTATTTGATCAAAAGATGTTTATTATTAAATTTATTTTTAGTATTGTTTTTAATATCTCTTAAAATATGCAGTAAAAATGTGATTGTTTTTGAGAAATTATATTATATAAGTAAAATATAAATTATATTTTTGCTGTTACTGTAAGATATTATAATCAAATAAATATACTAATTATATTTTTTTTTGTCAATTAAACATATATCAGTTTATGTTACTTAATTATTTTATGTAATCATCTAATAAAATAGATAGATATATAAAAAAACTAATTACTTTGAAAATATATATATTTTATTGTTTAAATTATTTTTTTAAAGAAAAAATATTTATTTTTCTAATATCAAGATTATTTGTATGAACTTTTTTTTATGAAAACACATTATATACAAATATTTTATTTCATCTAAGAAGATATAGATATAAAGTATAATTACTTAAAAAGTATAATTTATGTTATTTAAAATTATATTTAAGTTAAATATTACTATTTTGTAAATTTTCTTTTTTTATGAAACCATATTATATATATACTTATTTTTTTCGTTTTTAAATAGTTTTGTAAATTTTAAAAATGTTTCCTTTTTGTTTTATATTGTTATTTGGAAGATTCTTAAAATGAAATAATAATATTTAAATATATTTTTAATTATTAGGGATATCATAGTAATTAACCAGCGTGAGAGTTAACGTGAGCGCGACACCTAAGAAAGTGACTTCTCAAATAATATTATAGAGATTGCACGAATTAACTATTTAAGCTATATAACTAAGACTAATTTTTCAAAAATTGTACTAAAAGTATACTCCTTCTGTTTTTACAATGTGTCATTTTTGCCATTTTTTTCCTGTTTCAAAATATGTGTTATTTGACATTTTCAATGCAATTTTTTACAAATAATATCTTTCTTATCCTTTTAATCAACCAATAGACATTTTTTTAAAAAAAATATTTAAATAATTATATATTAAATAAGGATATGCAAATATATTTTTTTCAATTTCTTAATATATGTGAAGTATATTTAAGTGACACATATATTAAAACGGATGGAGTACAATTTATGCAAAGGAGAATTCATTTCTTTCTATTAATTTTGCGATAAATGGAAACCAATCATCATCTTAACTGGCTCTGAGATTTAGGAGATCATATTTGAATTAATGTTTTTTTAATACATTTGAAGGTTTTAAAAATATTAATCACTCCGTTTAATTGTCATTTTAGTTTTTTGCACACAGATTAAGAAAATATTTAATTTTACATATTTGCAATATAAAAACACAATTACCAATACACTTAACCACTTTTTAACCAATAGAAAAATAAGTTATCATATAAATCTAATAAATTTTACCTAGAAACTCTAAAATGACACTTATTTTGAAACATTTTCTTCTAGAATGACATCTAATTCGAAACGGAGAGAGTATAGAGATCCTTTTGAATATAATTTTATACAAAAAAATTGTGGATGTTAGACTTGGCTCCGACCCTGATCATCATTGAAGGTAGGGTTAGCTTCATGATAACACGTGTGAATGGGATCAATAAACCCAAATTTCTAGTATAATAAGGAGCTAAACCCGAATAATAAATACAGTATAAATGTGATTGGATTGTTATTAAGTTATTAACTAACCCGCCGAGTCCCATGGAGATAGCGCCGGCGGCGACTTCGGCGAGACCAGCGGTGAGTATGATAGAAGAAGAGACATTAGCACCGGAGAGTCCGGCGGCGAGTGCAAAAGGAACGGTCAAACCGTCAGAAACGCCGATGATGATGTCACGAACGATCTCTCCGGCGGTGAAGTGTTTCTCGATATGATTATCGAGAAGTGATTGCTTCTTAGGGTCTATAGAGATCCTCGTGATTTTATCTTCTTCCCGTGACATTTTGAATATGAATCTTTTTCTCTCTATTTTTGATGTTGTGTCTTTTTGATATGTGTTTGTGTATGTATATATACGCCAAGAATGAGGGGAGTATCATACCAATTTTTATATTATATGATTTATGGTATTTGTAAATTAAATTTTGATTAAACCGATAATTAGTGATGTTTTTATTCAAAAAAAAAAACTAAATACTTTTTTCGTATTTGATAGTCCAAATCGCCATCTCGGAGAAAGTATTTATCTACAAGTAGTTAAGTTTGCAAAATATTTATTATATATCTTCTTACCGATTGTGTTTGCCACAAACTTATGGGCTGTTTAAATTTTGATTAACAATAAGTTTTTAATTATGCTTTTTAAACTATAAAAATACATGCATACAACAATTGACTTACTAAGAACATATACATTGGTGATATGAAGTTTTTTTTTAACACAAAATAGTAAAATAATAAAAGTAAGAGAAAGAAAATAGAAAATTGAGAACTATTCTTTCCTACAAGAGATTCTTTACACATCTAAAGAAACCATGAGTCAGTGTCTCACTTTTTCACTGGTGAAATTTTTCTTTAAGATTTAAAACCTAATTACACTGGAATTAAATACCTTAAAAATATTATTATATTAATAGATAGATAGCCGGTTGGAGAAACCTATGATGCTCTAAATTTTATAGAAACATACATATTTTTATCCACCTTAAATTTTGTAATATATATATATATATATATATATATATATAAGGTTTTTGTACATATTTCTGTTTCTAAAAAAAATCAACAGATCACATATTCATCACATCTTTTTTTTTAAAACTTATCATCACATCGTTTTAGACAAGAAAACGGACTATTAATATAACAATCAAGTTCCATAGAATAGTAAAATGTTTATTAGTTTCTGTGAAAAGAAAAATAAAAGACTGAATATTTCACACAAAGTCTTTCGAGTTGATCACCAAAACTTGATTCACCAATAAAATCCTATGCGTTCACACAAGTTCTATAAGACAGGGGAAACAGTTTGAGTTTTGATCAGAAATCAGATAAAAGTTCGCGTGTCTGCCACATGCTTGTCCACAACCTGAAACCACGTATACATTTTCTACGTGGACACACGAAACTGTATGAGACAGCAATGTCCAAAAAATAGTTATATGTAGGACTCGGCAAAAATACTTGATACCCGGATTGTATTCGTTACTTGAAAAAAGTACAAGTCAAGTATCAAGTTCATTTTAATTTTTAACTACTTGTTATCATTTACTTGTTACTTTTCATATGTTATTTGGTTTATTAAATACTTAGTATATATTTCTTTAATTAATTAAAATTTATGTATTTTATGAGTGGCCACAATTACTTGTTACTTGCATCATATTCACTACTTGGTTGGTATACGATTCTTAAAGTCGAATACTTGTTTTGACTAAGATGCGTATCAAAAAGTCAATTTAAACTGCCTTCAAATACAAACAAATACAAAATAATAAAATAAAAATAATTAGTCAGCGTTGTTTGGTTTATTATTCGTTTTTGTCAATGAACAAAAATACATTTTCCTAAATAATCGTAAAACAATTTGTTTATATTTCAATTTTTATAAGTGAATCAAACATAAGTGGTATATTTATATAAACATTTTGGAATTTTTTACTTTTTATTATAATATATTTAACGAATGATTAAAAATCAGAAAACAATGACAAAATGAAAATAATGACATATTATTTATATATAATAAATTATTTACCTTTAAATTTTAACTAACTATCAAATAATTTACCAATAGTTATCAAGTAATTTGTAAAAAATTTACAAATAACAAGTAATAAAACAAGATAAGTAACTTGCAAGTCCATCAATTTTCGCAAGTACTTGAAACTGCAAGTGCTCGTTTTTAACAAAACAAATATAAATCCAAAATTTGAATACTCGTACAAACCAAGCCGAGTACTAAGTATATCGAAAACACCAAGTACTCGACTTGTGCCCACCCCTAGTTATATGAGACAGCTACGCCTACAACCAGTGCTGGTTAGTTAACGAAATCCAATTTTATTATAAATAAATATATATATATATATATATATATATATATATATATATATATATATATATTTTTTATACAAATATTAAATTTAAATAAGTTAGACTGAAACCAAAATATTTTATACAGTATTTATATAGTTTTTTTATCATAAAATATTATTGATTAAAATAACAAATAATCCTTACAATTTTAAGAGGTTTTAAAAAGTCTGCAAATGAAAAAGGAATGCGAAAAAGGTTATTTACTTGAAGCCATATGCAACGTTCCAATTCACATTTCACGTATTTTTTGTTTAACTTTTTTTGGGCCTGCTCGAGATTATTAGAAAGTTAAGAACATTCAAACTCTCATGTGACATAAAAGAGACCAAGATGTGTCGAGAGTGGTAAGAAGAAAAGTTTGAGACGCCAACACGTTTCGAATTTGATCTAGGGTATACGTTATTTTTTTTTGCTAGGAATGTAAATATCATAAAATATGAAGATGTTTCAGGTATACAAGATAGCTGCAGGATATCACCTTGGCAAAAAAGATAAAAACAAGGTAATACAATTTTAGAAAATGTTCAAGAGAAAGTTAAGAAAGCCATCGAGACATGAGGCCCTCAAATCGCTTTCTTCCTTTTCTTCCTGTGATTGAGTTACGGACCTCTCGATCAATGAGCTTGACAACGGTATACGTTATTATTTCGCTCTCTTTCGATTCTTAAAAAAATTCGTTTTATGTTTTCCCCTCCATCTACATTCCAAACAAAAAATTTCTTACACACTTGACATTTTCAAAAATCGATAGAGCTATAAACAATCTTTTATTATTGTTGTGTTTGTTGAGTGTTGCTGCTTTAATGTAGAAGCTGAATTGATGTAACTTGGACAACTTATCTAAAATTTGATATTTTTAGGAATAGTTCCAAATTTTTTAAAATCACACATGAAATGAAGTTATGAATTCTGTTTAATATATAAGATTTTATGGTGGGCCAAGCCTTGCAAGGTATAATTTCGCTTAGAAGTTTTTGCAAACGTTTTAACTTTTATTACTCTATGAAAGCTTCAAAAGAGAATGCTTTTTGAATGTAATGAATCTGTGCAGAATCAAAAGGACCTCTCACTCTATCTTTGTAATCACTGCTCTCTCCAGCAACACACTCCTCGCCGGGTCCACCACCGTCTCTCCGCTCAGACACGACGAGAATCTTTTAACGAAGATAAATTCCACGTCTTCATCGTCAACAATGTCTATCACAATAAACGCTTCGTGTCTACACGTTTGGCTATAAATCTTTCGGATCGCTATATGTATCCGTAAAATTCTTCTTTAAGTTTTTTGTTTCTTTTCTTAAGTTTTAATATACGGATAAAATATTTAGCGTAATTAAAATAATACTAATATTCAGTATTCAATTTTGTTGTTCTTTTAGATATCACATGATTTGTCTAATTAATAAAAACTATTCCATTATAATTAATATAATTATCTTATATTTTTAATGTTTGTTTTACTTTCTTATAAAGTCAGTAAAATAAAAGTATTCGGAATTATCTTTGAAAGTCACTACATAAATTATGGAATATAATTCCCTCTATACATTTGTTTTTGAATCCATTATTATTTTTATTTCCTCTTATATATATATATATATATATATATATATATATATATATATATATTAAAGCAAACTGATTTTAGATAATGAAAAATCGAGTAACATTTGTGTTCAAATATTAGTTAGATAGAATGACAGTATAATATTTATAGCTACTAATTAAAATTATACATACTTGTTAAAAAAATTATCAAAAACCATAACAACCAAACTAATTATCATTTAAACATAAACATTATTGTTAGTTTTAGAGTATAATTGGTGATTGGTTTATTTTTATTTGATTTTTTGAATCATATTTTTTTTTTGCTTTTGCTCTATTATATATATAATTAATTACTTGTTTACCAGACAAATTCACCATAATTTTATTATATTTTATTATATGTTTAACTTATTTTAATAATATTGTTTTTTGATATATAAATGACAAATAACCTTTTGTATTTATTTCATTTATGTATAAGTAAATAAAACTGACAACTGGCAACTTTTATTTATTTTAAACATATATGTAAATATATTTATATTACAACAAATAAATATTAAATGATGTAGTATTCACCTAAATGATGAACCATCACCAAAACAAGAAAAATAATGTTATATATGTAAAACATATTACTATTATCAAATCAAACATAATTTTCGTTAGTAGAACTAAAAAAAAATGACTTCATTTTCTCTTATAAATCTATGTTAATATATATATAAATCACTGAAAATAACAAACGATATTATACAAAAATGTATTTTATATTCATTACAAATATTTAAATTTGGAAATTTAAGTATTAAATAATATGATACACATGTAGATGATAATCTGTCACCATAAAATAATGGGAAAATTGCCAAATATGACTCAAAACTTGATTTGAAATGCAAAAGTAAATCCAAACTTGAATCAAATACAAAAGTAACTTAAAAGGCTATTCCAACCCCTTGTGAAAAAACAAAAAAAAAGTATTTTTTTTATGTTTCTAATCCTCAGACGACTTTCAACTAAAAATAATTTAAAAATTGTGTAACAAATATCTTGATAAATGAAAAATTGGGATTATGAAATTAACATATGTATTAAGAGATATAAATTAAGATGTAACAAAAGTCAGTTGTTTTCAGCATAGATGAGTGAAAGTAGTGAGTCATGATATTCTTTAGTTTAGGTTTCATCAATATATGTTGTAGTATTGTGTGTGTTTCTTAGGATTAGATCTTCGAAAGCATAAATGTTTTTTTGAAAAATTAAAAATTTACCTAAGTGTGTTTATTTCTGTGTATAGTAAACACTATTTAAGTATAATTTGATTTTATAACGTGGTTAGTTAGTTAATTT